TCTCTCTTTATTTACATGGTATTTTCAGAGTGTAATTGTCTCAAGCACGTGAGGTAAATGAAGTGTTCCAGTGCATGAAAAACTAATTTACTAAATAATAATGTCTGCTCTGGAAGTGTGAGCTTCTTGAAGAACAATCACACTTATTGTTGTTGGATTTCACATATTTAATGGAATTAAGACCATAATAATGAGCACGGTGAGCACTCAATCATTTCTCAATGAATGACTGCATGATTTATATACATATACATATAAACATAGGCATATTTGCAAACACTATTACCCAGAGGTCTTCCTCAACTATTCATAACATAGCAAATATAAGGACTAAAGCATTTAAGTGCTCCAAGAAGCTAAAATAGATGTCACAGATCCATGTCCTGAAGCTTTTTTACCCCAAAAAGAACTGAATAAAACAAGGTAACTCTGAATTTAGCATCTGCTCATTCCATTTCAAAAATATACATCCACTTTAAGCCCCTTAGATCATATTTGCTTTTAGTTTAGTCACATATTTTTAACAGCCTTGGTTACATAATTTCTCAGCCCAGTGCAGATTAGAATCAACAAATTAGACAGCATGGTGACAGCCTGATAAATGTATGGCACGTTGGCAGAAGCAAAAATGAGAAGCGAAGGCTGCCACTGATGGAGAAGCGAGAACAAGCAGAAGGCTTAAATTAGCTTGGTCCAGGCCCACTGAATGTAGGAGACATTGCTTTCACTGTACCCCATAGGCCTGTTCCATTGCAGGTAAAAATGACACAACTTGTATTTTTTAAAAATGATACTGAGTCATTATTCTAAAGTCATATTACACTAAAAAATATTGTTACTTTAATTCGTTTAATTATTCGACTGACTTTTATAGTGAGACTTGATTTTGCTTTTCAACTCGGTCAAGTGCAAGTCAGTGAGGATATAAAGATAAAGAACAGGACAGTGGATTTTGAAAAGCTCGCTATTGGTAGGTGGAAACAAACATAGGGGAAAATATTTCTCATAACAGGAGGGGAACAAAATGTACTCTACTAGAAATATGTACAGAGTTGCAGGGGCAACCAGTTGGAGAGATGGAGGATTCCTACCATATATCAGAGAAAATAATTCCCACCCAAAGAAATTTTAATTATTTAGAAAAGCCATTATGTGATATGGAC